TTTGAGTTATATAAACGGTCATGATCAAATTAGTTTTTCCAATGATGGAGATTATTACTCCGTAGTCAAGGCACTGTTGAATTGAATCATTGCTTCCACTCATACTTTATTTTTGTGTACTTTTAGTTTAAGAAAGGCTAAGGTCTCTCAAGTAGTACTACGTAAATACGAATGTTAAAATCATTAAAGTATTGCTCAAAAAACATTAAAAATAAATGAATAATGTAAAAGTGGTTTTATTTTTTTCTCACATTATCAATAAAAAATAGATAAAAATATGGGAAAAATAATTCAAAACTTTAATATTTGTGATATATGATTTTGATTATTAACATTGACAATTAGTAAAAATACAAAGTTTATTAATAATATCCTCACAAATATAAAAATATTTTATTATTATTATTATTATTATTATTATTATTATTTTTAGTATTAGTATTATTATTATTGTTATTACTATGTTGTTGTTGTTGTTGTTGTTATTATTATTATTATTATTATTATTATTATTATTATTATTATTATTATTATTATTATTATTATTATTATTACTATTATTATTATTGTTTTTAGTATTAGTATTATTGTTATTGTTATTATTATTATTATATTGTTGTTGTTTCTATTGATATTATTAAACATAGGGAACTAACTTGAATGTGTTTACGCCCACATAATTGGTATTATAATGTTCAGATAATTGGTATTATTTAAAGTTATTTATAAAGTATGTATTATTATTGATTAATGAAAGGTAAATGATATTATTTATAAAGGAGTATAATGTTTAAGTCATGATAGAGTTATATTTTCATCATCCATCTCATCATCCTCATCCTCATCCTCATCACCACCATCATCATTCTCATCCTCATCATGATCTTCATCACCATCACCATCATCATCCTCCTCCTCATCATCATCATCATGCTCATGATCATCCTCATCATCATCATGCTCATGATCATCATCATCATCCTCGTCCTCCTCCTCCTCCTCCTCCTCCTCATCATCATCATCATCATGATCCTCATCCTCATCACCATCATCTGATCATCATCCTCATCCTCATCATGATCTTCATCCCCATCACCATCATCATCCCCCCCCTCATCATCATCATCATGCTCATGATCACCATCATCATCCTCGTCCTCCTCCTCCTCATCATCATGGTCATGATCATCACCATCATCCTCATCCTCATCCTCATCATGATCTTCATCCCCATCATCATCATCCCCCTCATCATCATCATCATGCTCATGATCACCATCATCATCCTCGTCCTCCTCCTCCTCATCATCATGGTCATGATCATCACCATCATCCTCATCCTCATCCTCATCATGATCTTCATCCCCATCATCATCCTCCCCCTCATCATCATCATCATCCTCATCATGATCTTCATCCCCATCATCATCCTCCTCCTCATCATCCTCATCACCATCATCATCATCCTCATCATGATCTTCATCCCCATCACCATCATCATCCTCGTCCTCCTCCTCCTCCTCATCATCATCATGATCCTCATCCTCATCACCATCATCTGATCATCATCCTCATCCTCATCATGATCTTCATCCCCATCACCATCATCATCCTCCCCCTCATCATCATCATCATGCTCATGATCACCATCATCATCCTCGTCCTCCTCCTCATCATCATCATTGTCATGATCATCACCATCATCCTCATCCTCATCCTCATCATGATCTTCATCCCCATCATCATCATCCCCCTCATCATCATCATCATGCTCATGATCACCATCATCATCCTCGTCCTCCTCCTCCTCATCATCATGGTCATGATCATCACCATCATCCTCATCCTCATCCTCATCATGATCTTCATCCCCATCATCATCCTCCCCCTCATCATCATCATCATCCTCATCATGATCTTCATCCCCATCATCATCATCATCCTCCTCATCATCCTCATCACCATCATCATCATCCTCATCATGATCTTCATCCCCATCACCATCATCATCCTCGTCCTCCTCCTCCTCCTCATCATCATGATCCTCATCCTCATCACCATCATCATCATCCTCATCCTCATCATGATCTTCATCCCCATCACCATCACCATCCTCCCCCTCATCATCATCATCATCATCATCATCATGCTCATGATCATCATCCTCGTCCTCCTCCTCTTCCTCATCATCATCATCATCATCATCATCATCATCATCATCATCATTATGATCCACATCCTCATCCTCATCATGATCTTCATCCCCATCATCATCCTCCCCCTCATCATCATCATCATCATCATCATGCTCATGATCATCATCATCATCCTCGTCCTCCTCGTCCTCCTCATCATCATCATCATCATCCTCATCATGATCTTCATCCCCATCACCATCATCATCCTCCCCCTCATCATCATCATCGTCATCATCATCATCATGCTCATGATCATCATCATCATCCTCCTCCTCCTCCTCATCATCATCATCATCATGATCCTCATCCTCATCACCATCATCCTCATCCTCATCATGATCTTCATCCCCATCACCATCATCATCATCATCCTCCCCCTCATCATCATCATCATCATCTTCATCCTCATCACCATCATCATCCTCACCCTCATCATCATTATAATCCTCCTCATCATCATCATCATCATAGAATAGTGAGTTGAATATATTATTCAAATTACTGTTTTCTAGTATACTTCAATCGATGAGGTTCTATGTGTAGAGGTGAATATATGTTTTTATCAAAACCAATGCTATTATTTATTTTTAAAACCAATATTATGTATATTATTATTATTATTATTATTATTATTATTATTATTATTATTATTATTATTATTATTATTATTATTATTATTATTATTATTATTATTATTATTATTATTATTATTATTATTATTATTATTATTATTATTATTATTATTATTATTATTATTATTATTATTATTATTATTATTATTATTATTATTATTATTATTATTATTATTATTATTATTATTATTATTATTATTATTATTATTATTATTATTATTATTATTATTATTATTATTATTATTATTATTATTATTATTATTATTATTATTATTATTATTATTATTATTATTATTATTATTATTATTATTATTATTATTATTATTATTATTATTATTATTATTATTATTATTATTATTATTATTATTATTATTATTATTATTATTATTATTATTATTATTATTATTATTATTATTATTATTATTATTATTATTATTATTATTATTATTATTATTATTATTATTATTATTATTATTATTATTATTATTATTATTATTATTATTATTATTATTATTATTATTATTATTATTATTATTATTATTATTATTATTATTATTATTATTATTATTATTATTATTATTATTATTATTATTATTATTATTATTATTATTATTATTATTATTATTATTATTATTATTATTATTATTATTATTATTATTATTATTATTATTATTATTATTATTATTATTATTATTATTATTATTATTATTATTATTATTATTATTATTATTATTATTATTATTATTATTATTATTATTATTATTATTATTATTATTATTATTATTATTATTATTATTATTATTATTATTATTATTATTATTATTATTATTATTATTATTATTATTATTATTATTATTATTATTATTATTATTATTATTATTATTATTATTACTTGATGGAGTATATGGCCCAGGGACCCCCGGCCCACAGACTCCTGCTTCTTCTACACAGGCCCATCAAGCCCAATGTGCACACCAAGCCCAAACACAGCGACCCAAGTCTTAAGAAGCCCGCGGTGCACATATGGGTGCCTTCGGCCCTATGGCCGAGGGCTCCAAATCTCACAGGACAGCCAGAGTTGAGCATACAAAGCTACTGGGAGAAAATGGCAGAAATCAGGAGCCTTCGGCTCATAGGCGCCCTCGGCATAAGGGTAGCCTTCGGCCACACAGAGCCTTCGAAAATAAATCTGGATTATTATTAAAATGTTATTCTAGTAATTTTAGTTACTATATTTACATTCAAATATTACATTGTAGTGATTGTAAAACTTACTAATAATAACTTATTGTCACATTTTTGTCTATAATTAATAATAAGTAATGTTTAGGGCTATTTTTTCATTAGAAATTACTAAACAAATAAATAGAATAAACATAGGCAGAACGTTATCCATCCATTTTTTTAAAAAAAAATTATAATTACATCCATTTTAAGATCTGTCCCTTTTAATTGAAGCTAACTTGAACTAGAACATTAACATGTCTGAGAAGTTGATTCTGCATCCGTAACAATACTTTCATAACTTGACAGAATAAGCACTCTTTTGTGACCTTTTGTATGATCGTGTATCCATCTCTTAAAAACCCTAAGAACTCACTTTTTTTTATCTGCCAATCATGTCAAACTTCTCAATCCACAAATATTGGAACTCTCTTGCTTTAATTAGGACTGCTGATAGCAAATTCACATCATCTATCACCCAAATATGCTTTAAAACAGATAGTTACTACACTCATTTGTCAGGTGATGCATGCGATGTCAAATTCTTGCTACCAAAAGGATTAGTAGAGCTGACAGATCTTAATTCAATCCCACAAGTACCTGATACCAACGATACTAGAACTCTGGTGATGGTGTAATCTAATTGGGATACTAGTTTCTATTTGAATTATTTAGACACACCACATGATCCACACTATACACTTGATACCAAAAAAACTAACAGGAATAAACAGTTCACTAGGCAGCATGCAATCCAGCTTCCTCTGTTTTAACCACTCTTTCAGGCAATATGTTCTCTAATGCCTACCTCAAATTTATGAATAAACGGCTACACAAACTCTGCATATTGGCAATGGTGTTTCTCTAAACCAATCTAGACTTCAGTGAAGCTTTGAGGTATACATTGAGCACAGGGATTGTATAATTAATTCATGATGTGTGGTAGAGAAAACATACGATGTTGATGCTATATATTAATATATAGAATAAACAAAATTCACAATAAAAAATTGCATGTGGTTTGCTTCTGCCTCAATCAACAATGTGAATTGCATAGTCTATCCTTGTCATCGATTATAATTCCCAAAAAGACCCATAACTCATCGAGCCTTTTTGAACCCTCGAAGAAGTCTCATAGAAGTCAGAACATCAGTGGTATAATTGGAAGCAGAATCATCAAATTTAAAAATGTCAACAATCTCAGTAAAGCTACATCCGTCTTCATAATCTTCTAGGTATGGAAGCAACATATCCTGTGGAATGAATGAAATGACACAAAAAATAGTCAGTATGTAACATACTAAAACTGCAGCATTTACACAAATACAAATACAGTTATAAGTAAAGTCGGCAACAAAACATACTCCAGACTAAATGAGAAATGTGTGCAGAGCATTGACATTAACATATATACACTTATAACATATACCACAAACATACTCCATATATACACACTTACACACGTATCAACCTCCTTTTCCATTCTTTATTCCATCTTTTGCATTTCTTTCAACCTCCTTTAGAGTACTCACAAACTGCAAAGACAAAAAATGAATTATATATACGAATACTTTCAAAATCAATACTATGTATGTAATCGTTCAATAAACGATAACAAAATAATCACCGAATTATGATATCCATGGTATGGATATCCCTGATGCAATCCTCCATAAGAGTGCGCATGAAACATTGCAGCAGGCTGAGTCGGATATTGAGGATGAAATTGCCAATTGGATGTCATATAACCATTGTAATTAGTATGATGGACTGGTATGTTGTTATAAGCAGGCATTTGTATATGTCCTCCTTGGTGATGACGATCTTGTGCAAGCATTATGCCATTTGCAAGTTCATCCTATAAAAATAGTGAAGATATGATAAAATGCATTTTTACTCTGTTAAAAAAAGTGAAGACACGATAAAAGGGTGTCTTACATTAGCATTAGTCACTGGTAAATTGATATGACTATTATTCCCTCTATCAGCAGCCTATGCCATATCCATTTATACATAGTTAATACAATTTCAAAACACTATAACTAAAAATAATTTCAAACTCCATTTAAGAACTTACATCATTAGTGTTTGCACATCTAGCAGGATCTTCTGTGTTTTTCCTCTTCTTTTTATTTTTGTGTCCTTTACTTCCAAGCATATGAGCATTGCCCTTAATAATAACAAATAAATGATTAAAAGAAAAATATTTAATCCAATTGCTTACTTATAATGTAATGGTTATAGAAGCAAAGTGATCTTACATTATTAGTGGTGCCGGTATCATCAGATTGCTCAGATGACTCGTCGTTGCCCTCCCCCTCATCCTCCTCCTCCTCCTCCTCCTCAAGCACATGTAGTTGATCACGATTAATCAACGTAGGACACTTGCGTTTCGTATGACCATGTCGCTGACAATGTCCGCATCTTCTCCTCTTTCTAGTATTTCTGTCCTTACGAGGAGCACCTTTAGTCTTCACAATTGTTGGATCAAGAACCTTAGAGCCATTATTCAGATTAAGTGCATCACCACCACACTTTTCAAACTTGCCTATCAAGCTCTCAATGTCGGCAATGAACTCGGAATAAAGTGATGGTTTTTTACAAGCTGCTCTATATAACCTGTTACATGCCGCAGAGATAGCACAAGACCTCAACATGTCCAAGTTGGATAATTCAGAATCGTCACCGTTATCATCAATTGAGGACATGGAATCAAGTTTAGCTTTTTTTGTCCATCTTTGGCAAATAAGACTACTCGGAACTGAATCAATATTTTCATGCCTCATAGCGCAAAATATGTGTGCACAAGGAATACCATGAGACTCGTACAATCGACAATCACACGCAAAATTACAGCCACCCTTATCATACATAACAAGGAACTCGGTGTCTGGACTTCCGAATTTATTCATTCTGAAACAAGTATTATCACCACCATGCTCAACCCTTTCAACTAAATTAAGTTTAACAACATTCTCAATCTGTTTCCTAACCTCCCAAAATTTATTCCTTGTAAAGACTTGTGAAGCCCACGACTCATAGACATGTAGAGGAGTGGTCAACAGAGGGTCAGTATACAAGGATTTAAAATCAGAAATTAATTCATTGTGTCTATACTCTTTTACGGCTCTTTCAAAATTATGCATAAAATCAACAAGGCTGTTTTTGTTCTGCACATACCGCTTAATGAATGAATTAATTCCTTCACAGATAGACGTTGTCCGAATACCGGCAAAAAACTTGTCACGCATATATGCACTTGCCCACATCGTCTTCATGTCATAAACTTTATTAACCCAATTATTGTTTGCAACTCCATGTTCATCAACAGTCTTCTTCCACCTGCTTTCAAAATCATCAGGGCTAAAGTTACCATAAATTAGAGGATTAAGATCTTCTAGAAAACGCGAGTTCTTAACATTATCGCATGCATTTTTGTGAAGATGCCAAGCACAAAGCCTATGAAAGGAGCTCGGAAGCACTGCCCTAATCGCTTCACGCATCGCACCATCTCCGTCAGTGACAACTGCCTTAGGATGTTTACCAAACATGCATTCACAAAAAGTTTCCAGAACCCACTTGTACGTTTCTGTCTTCTCATCGGATACTAAGGCACACGCAAAGATAACTGTTTCGCCGTGATGATTGTACCCAGAAAAAATAACCAAAGGCTTGTTATACTTGTTCTTTTTGTACGTAGTGTCAAAAGCAACAACATCTCCAAAGCAATGGTAATCAAGCCTACTTACACCATCCGACCAAAACAAGTTATCAAGCCTCCCCTCTTCTGTGGTTGTGAACTTGGAAAACATAAAACTATCACTATCTGCTTTGGCTTGGAGATAAGATAATGCAGCAAATGCATCGCCATCATTTATCTTAGCTCTCTTTTGCTGATCAATGTAGTTGTACAAATCCTTCTTGCAGAACCCAACATCGGCGTGCCCACCCTTTTGACAATTAATCAGCCCCATGATGTGACAAGTTCTAACTCCATGCAACCGTAAACTATCTACCTGTGCTTTAATGCCGTCACTAATGCTTCTGTAAGCTGGCATTAAATGGACATACTGTGATGGGGTCATCTCATGATTGTGAGTATCCTCGAAATCAATAATCATCCACTTTCTTGTATGATTATCGAACTCTGCGCGAAGTCGTGCCATACAGTTGGTACGCGTGATAGGCTTTGGCTCCCTAACACGATCGTTCCTTTCCATGTGCTTCTTACTTCTCAATCCCTCCCGACTGCAAACCAAATTTCTCATTATAATATTATTATTTGACTCACGACGCACATCATCTCTTCTGACAGAAAAGCCATTAATTTGGGCATAACAAGAATAAAAGTCATAAACTTCATCCTCTGAGTCAAATTCGAGTCTCTTAATATCAGTAGGTGTCAAATCAGAAATTTTTTTATAACCCTCTTCATTCAGACTTTTATCTACCTCTTCATTGAAAATGACTTGGACTTCTTCACAATGCTCTGACATTTTCGAATGACTGGAAAAAGGTCCTGAAGAAGAAAAATATGATTCATTATAAAAATAAAAACGAAATCTATAATAAGACCGGTGATTCAACATATTCTGTGAAAATGACTGCTGATTCAGACTCGGAAATATAAGATTTCAAAAGGGAGGCAATGGCTTTACTAAGTATAAGAAATAAGGAAGTGCAGATAACTTAACCAACAAAACATTTTCAAGTCTATATGCCTCACTAACCTGAGCAGGCCATTGAATTTGATTTGCCGAAAATATTAATGTTGAAACATATTTTTGAAATTATGAACATAACAATAATGCTTAAAAGACAGGATGTTAAATTCAATGCTAAATATAAAAAACAGATGATCAAGTACTTATACTACGACAGAATGTTGAACTGAATGCTATACTTTCATTAAATTAAGGGTCTTCCAGGATCATTCTTTGCTCAGGAGAGATTTCAGTTAAATAAAGCACTTTGTAAAATCATCAGTGCCATCCAGGAGCATTTTTTGCTCAGGAGAGATTTCAGTTAAATCAAGAACTTTAACAAGAAGTTAGAACAAAATTATTATTATTTTAATTTTCAATTTACATACATATACGGAGTATATGCAATTATGTACCATAGTTATTTACGGTGTTGGACAATTTTCTGACTTATCACCATAATGATTGCCAAATGCCAATGACTAGTTATCTAGTTTTGTGCATTTGTTTAATTTTTCATATTGCTATGTGGTATGAATCTACGTCTGATCTAAAAGGCTTCAAAGTTAGTTGTGACAATGGTTGTAGGGAGGAAACTGCCAATATTGTCTCTAGCTCCTAACCCTCCAGCCCTCATAATATCATCAGGTGTTATCTCAGGTTCCATACAAGTTCGGGAAATGATTACTAGATTAAAACAAGACCATGTTACTTCAATTTGGATTTGTTTGCTTTTTAACTTTGCTTTCTGATCTGATGCTCTGTTTGTTATATTTTCTTTGATCCCAATTATCCTAGGTTGGTGTAGTTGACTTTTGATCAACTTATACTAACTACTCACTAGGATGAAGACCAACAGAGTAGACTTTTTGGAGACTAATAGTCATCAATTGTGTTGTTCATATGTGTATCGATAAAAAGTTTCTTTGAAGACTAAGGTAAGCTTTAGTTTCAGGTAATTATTTTCTTAGACCGACAATAAGGCTATAAGACTTGGGTTTTTTAGCTGCTATTTTATGGATAACTAATAATTAATTGGCAGCGTTTAATCAAGAGAGTCATATACTTTTCATCTGATTTGTATGATAATGGGGTATTGGTGTGAATCATTATCAGATCTACATCCTGGTGCATAAGTTGCAAACTTCATAAACAATTGTGACCTGCAATTTATTTACAAATACAATCTTGGAAGTTTAACAAGAAACATACTCCGTATATGAATCTGATATGAAGTTAAGCAAAAACACAGCAATTAATGGAGCCCAATTAAATTGCAGCAAATGCAAATAGTGATAAATCAAAAAGTTCAAGGTGATGACTTTTATATGGGCTATACAAAGCTTCACCAGTTTCAATTTCAATTCATCCTCATGTTTTTAAAATTCTATAGTTTAGTATTAAACTCAGATTCACAATGGTATTAATAAGAATGTGATTGGTGATTAGTGAGTATCAATCTCATTGTGTAGAATTAATTCCAATAACCCATTGGCGGTTTAAGAACTAATAGTCTAAAACCAGAAACAAATTAATCAGAAACAACAAAATGCTAATTTGACACAGAAAACAAAAGCTTCCATAAAACTTAACCAAATTTCGGAGCAATAAGCAATACTCCGATATAGATTACGGAGCAATAAGCAATTGTTAATTATCAAGCAAAAACAAAAGAAGAAGAAGAAGAAAATCCCTTCTGCCAAAACAGAAATAAGCAAAACAAGAAACAGAAAAAATGCTTATTTGACACAGAAAACAAAAGCTTATTTGGACAAATAAACCCTGAGATTAAGAGCTTGTGAGAAAACCCCAACATCTTTCTCAAGAGAATCCCTAAATTAGATGTGATTAATAAACCAAGTACTTACCGAATTTCTTAGAATTTGCTCAAGAGAAACCTTCCGATGCTAGATAATCTCAAGAAAATCCCTAATTGAGATTGAATCCCGTTACAAAACTTGTCGCGGTTGCGATACTCTTCCGCAATAATGCTCCAGCAGCCAGGGAGCGAAGGAAACGGCGTTGTGTCGTCGGTTGCGAAGAGAAGAAGCTGCCGTCTGGTTGCGGTGGGTAGTAGGCAACGACCGTTCTGGTGTTGGAGAGAAGGGGCTGCTGTCCGGGGACTCTGGGTTGTGGTGAATAGTAGGTAACTAGG